CTCCCAACCCCTCTTTGTCCTCCTGCTCCCAACCTCTCTGTGCCCTGCTGCTCCCAACCCCTCCGTGTCCTCCTGGAGAGCCATCCTGAGCCCCCTGAGCAAAGCCAAGGTGCAGAGAAATATCACGTGCAGCTGATCCTGTAAGAGATGGTGTTCAGGTTTCAAAGCTTTAGAAATGTCTCTATACCTTGACACCCCCTGTTAGCAGTGGCTGCTGAGGTGCCACTGCTGGAGCAGGTGACCTCACTGCTGACCACAGCACAGAGGGTGGCTGTGCCATGCACACCACCTCAGTGCACAGCTCGGTGGAAATAAGGTCTGCTTTTTGTCAGGTCTCTGTGTTAAGATTCTGGTCATAACCCAGTTTTATTTTTTAGTGAAGATATATAGCAACTGTGCCATCTCCTGTTGGCTACAGCATTTCGGAGGCTTTTTTTCTCATAAATAGCCTTGTCTATCACTTCGAAGTGACACTGCAGCATCATTTTGCTGCATGTGAGGCAATTTGTGCTTTGAAATCCCAGACCAACTCTTTTCCATGAAAACCATACGAACCCAACCATAAATCTCGCTGCTTTGTAGCTCTTCGCTCACATTTAACATGTTTTATAGTTCAGGTTTTCCTTTTGCTGCCACAGATGAAATACACTTCATCTGTGCCTTTTCTGAGGAGCAGGTGGTCCTGCCCAGAGCTGGGGGTACTGCTGGGTACCCCCCTTGTCTGGGGGGCTGGACGGGTCCCTTTGCCCGCTCGCCTGGCAGGTCCTGTTGCCTTGCCCAGGGCCAGCGGACACCTCGTGCTCAGGGGCTCACCCCAAGTGCTCTATCACTTCGAAGTGACACTGCAGCATCATTTTGCTGCATGTGAGGCAATTTGTGCTTTGAAATCCCAGACCAGCTCTTTTCCATGAAAACCATACGAACCCAACCATAAATCTCGCTGCTTTGTAGCTCTTCGCTCACATTTAACATGTTTTATAGTTAAGGTTTTCCTTTTGCTGCCACAGATGAAATACACTTCATCTGTGCCTTTTCTGAGGAGCAGGTGGTCCTGCCCAGAGCTGGGGGTACTGCTGGGTACCCCCCTTGTCTGGGGGGCTGGACGGGTCCCTTTGCCCGCTCGCCTGGCAGGTCCTGTTGCCTTGCCCAGGGCCAGCGGACACCTCGTGCTCAGGGGCTCACCCCAAGTGCCAGGTCCCCCCTGCACCCAGGGACAGGAACCACCCGTTGGCACGGGAGGGTCTGCACCTGGGGGTGAAGCAGATCTGCTGTCCAGCTGGACAGTCAATTTTTAACTTGCCCCGTTGCTCCATGGCGAGGAAGGGAAGCTTGCCCAGGAGGTGTGGCCGTTGGCCAGAGCACCCTGTCCCTCAGCACACAAACACTGTTGTGAGCTCTGGCCCAGCTCTGCTTTGGACTCTGCTCGTGTTGTGTGTATCTGATTTCACCCGGAATTAGAAGGTCACAGTACTGGGTGTCCAGGCCCTGAGGAACATCTCCACCTCCTCCTGACCGCAGTGGACAGGCTGAACTGCGCTGGTGACTTGTTCCAATTCCATCTTCCCATCACTAGGACAGGTGCCAGAGTGTTTTTTTGGGCAGGATGGAGGTCACATCGTGGGACACCTGTGCTGTCTGCTGTAACTGACCCCCCCTTTGCTCTGAGCTGGTTGCTTCTGGCACCCAGCGAGTTGCTCCTCACCTTCCCCGGTCTGTCAAACCAGAGCCTGTGCCACAAAGGCTTCTGCTTGTTTTCTGTCCCAGCTTCCCATGGCTCTTGCCCCGCAGCAGGGAGCCCCCTGGCACTCCTGGCACCGGGGGGCACGGCCACCCCCTCCTCTGCTCTCCTGGCTGTGGCAGGGCGTAGGGAAGCCAGATAAAATTGGCTGTTTGGACGCATGTTCTTCAGGATGCCGAGACAGAGGGACACCCAGTACAGTCAGCTTGACTCAGGGAGAAGAATTAATGGAAACGCCCGGCTCCTGGAGGGAGGAAATACCTTGAACAGCCTTTTCCTCCGTTTGTTGCCTGGGGAGGCTGACAATGGGCCCCGTGTCTGGGCGCAGCGCGGCTCCCGACAGACGCCGAGTCTGCGGCTCCGGGGGCTCAGGAAGGGCCGGCACAATGTGGGTGTCCTGCAGGGATCAGGCTGGGACTGGGGAACTGGGCTTTGCGGGGCTGGGCCCGGGTGCCCTGAGCCCTCTGATCTGCAGTCCTGGTCGCAGGGAAGGTGGCAGCCCAGCTTGTGATGGCTGGACCTTTGCACCTCACACTCTCATCACAATGAATTGCGATTTATTGCCCTGCTGCTCGGGAAGCACAAACTGCCAAAACGGTGACCAAGGAAAACTGCCTCTTTCCACTGTAAAATCCAGTAAGCACATAACTTCTTTTGTAAGCGGCCTTTATATATCAGGGATGCCACTTGGACCAGTAATTTAAATGTAATGAGGCAAGAGGGACTATAAAGTCCCTCAGTCACAGTATCTTATCAATCATGTTATGCAAATGTTTATGAACAGGAATGTCTGGGCAATCACAGGACGTGCCAGCAGCAACTGCTCCAGCTGCTGATGCTTTCAGGCTGCCGCAGTCGTGGCTTCCTTCAGATTCACTTTCTACAAGGAAGGAAAGTCAGTGGTTGATGGCTTGAGCTCCCCTGGTTGCTGCTGGCATTGGGCTCGATGTGGATGCTGGGAGCCAGAGGGGCCATAGCTCCTGTTGGTGCTGCTGGATGCAGGCATGGGATTGGGATTGTCTCCGTGCTCGAGAAACATTTGGTGTCAGGGGCCAGGAGGATGGTGGGGGCTGTGACAAACCCACCACTGGCCCTGGTGCTGGAGATGTGGTGGGTTTGTCCAATGGTCTTGGAGCGAGCAAAGCCCCCGCAGTGCGGGCAGGGCGCCGGAATGAGGCAGGAGGCAGTAAAGCTGGTGTGGTCCCCAGGGGGTCTGAGGGCATCCCCTGGAGCAGCGTGTCAGGCTGTAACATACCCCAGGTGGCTGCGTCACCCCACGGGTTCCTGCTGTGTTTGTCACACAAGAAATGGCTCTGCCGGGAGGAAGAAGCCGACTGCCGAGGGCGGGTGGGGGGGCGGGACGGCAGAGCCCTGGGCTGCTTTTGGCCTTTTTTGGGAAGAGCTGTTTTTTGAGGCAGTTTGTGTCACCATGGAGGGGCTGTGGGGATGCCTCAGGAGCTGGGTGAAGCAGCTGTGCGGGACACTGCGGTGGAACTGGGTGAATGCTGGAAAACTGGCAACTGCCTCTGGAGCAATTCCCAGGCTGAGGCAGATTTCTCTGAGTGAGGGCAGTTCCGAAAAGCCTTCAGGGGCCCTTTCAACCTCAGGGAATGCTTGGATGTGCTTCAGCATGCTATAAATAATTACAATTATCCATTCTATTAAGTGATTTAAAAGATTATTTCTAGTCTCCCTGACTTATAGGCAATTTGGAGTTCTTACTGTAGGCAAAAAAACTGTAGCTGGTCTATCATTCTTCTGAATTGTTTTATCTTTGTTGCTCTAAGCAGAGTCATGGGAATGTTGTTTTTTTTTTTCTAAGCCAGTGGGTTATTAGAGGACATACTTATAAATAACTGGTCTTAGCTATTTTTAAGTATTTTCAACATAGTAATGATGGTGCGGCATATTCTGCAGAAAAGCTGGGTCAATTCTGCTGCCAAAGCATTCATAACTCACTTCTGTTTCTTTGGATAATAGGGAGCCAGGTCCAAGCTCTCGGTCTGCCTTCAGGAATGCTGGGAGCCCGAGGAACCACACTGTTTGCTGTGGCTCCAAACTGGTCATTTTCTAAACCATTTTTTCCGTTACGCTGTTGGAAAATATGTAATTCCCCTGTATTATGTTAGGAAAACCAACAGTTGAGTCTGATTTACAGTTAAATATGCTGCAGTCTTTCTGAGGATGCCAGAGTGGTCACAGCAACCGTGAGTCAAGCCCTGGAGCTGCTGGGCAGGGTGGTGGGGCTGCAGGGCACCCCAGGGCTGCTGCAGATTGAAACAGGCTGCTGGATCCACCCTTGGGAATTACGGAGGGTGCAAGTGGGCTGCCCTTAAAACAGGATCTATGCGAAATGACCAGAAAGGTACAACCCCACTCCTCCAGGAGAATTGAGCATTTCAGACGAGATCATTTATATTTACTTCATAATTTATTAAAGTTCAGATTGCCATATGCCATAAATTATACTTGGTATAATAACAACATTGTCATAGAATATTACCATGAAGTACTTGTCTAATAGCTGTTGTAATCTATACAAATAAGAACTGCAGTTAGATTTTTAGGTTAATGGGAAGTGAACAAAATATTAAGGAACTTCACAGTAAATTCAGGGAAATAGGTCATTATTATTGCTTCTGTGCAAACAATTTATACTGCACATGTACAGCTTGAGAAAGAGAAGGTACAGTTGTGTTGTGTGTCTCTAGAGCAAATGCATTCCCTGAAGGCTGAACTTACTGCACCCCTGTGGTGCACTCTGGTGCATTTTAACCAATGCAAAGTGATCCCTGATCAGTAGCTGATCAGTCCCTAGAACCTCCTTCCTGGCCCACAGCAGCGAGGCTCAGCAAGGGCTCGAGCTGTAAGGAAACAGGTTTGAAAAGGCAAAGGCGAGGTCAGTAAACACTGAGTCCAGCAGAAGGTCCTGAGTCGTGCCCAGGCGCAGGTCCCCCCACGGCCGATGGAGGAGCCTGGAGCTGCCCTCCCTCTGGGAACCTCTGGCTGTCATCTGCACTGATGCCGTCCATGTGTGTCCACACCAGTCGCGTCCACACGGATGCTGCGTGTGTCCACACCAGCCCTGTGTCCACACCAATGCTGCCATTGGCTGCTGCCAGTGCTGTGGTCAGCCGGGTGCGTGGTGGGGCTGAAGCCCTGAGGTTGGACTGTCCAGTCCCCCATCCCACCGTGTGTGGCAGGAGGTCACAGACAGTCCCGTCCCAAAACGTTCTCCTCCATTTCTGCTCCCTTTGCCAGTTCAGTGAACTGTAATGGAGTATTTCCGAAATGTCAGGAACTGGAGCAGCTTGTCCTTTCGCCTCTGCTTTAGCGCCATCAGTGCTCTCGTTTTCTCCTCCAAGTCCTGGTCGGTGGCGAGGATTATTTTGGCTCTTTCCTCTGCCTTTTTGTCCCCGGAGTTTTTGAAGAGTTTCTGCAGGGACTCTTCATTGATGCTTTCGAAGATGTTGGGCACAGCTTTCTTGCGCAGCGCCGTGTCGAAGCGGTAGCCGTGGACCGAGGGGCTCACCCGCAGGGACGTGGACATGGCTGGAGTTGTGTGGTGTCCCTTTGCTTTCATCTACGTGGGGTTTGCTCTCGTCGGAGGGATCTGTGCTGGGAGGGCTCCCAGCGCTGGTATTTAAAGGCAGTCTGGAGGAAAAGCTGAAAGGCTCAAGTTACAGTGATGAGATCACGATGATGTCAACATTGAACAGGCACAGCGAGTTTAACAGTTAAGTTGCCAACTTTCCTGTGCAGAGCAGCTGAGAGGAAAGGTTTTCTATGTCTGCAACAGGACTGGTTTTTGTTTGACCTGCTGCAGAACAGGCTCTGTGCAACTTCAAGCCTTTGGAGCCAGCACAGCTCAGACTCTGCTCCTGGCCTTTTGTTGTATATGGAAAAGCTCTACATCAGAAAATATAATGTGATAAAGAGTCAAACTCCAGGTGAGAACTGTTGCAATTCTAGCAAGAGGTGCTAGCTGTGAGCCTGTGTGTGCAGACGTGACATGTCAGTGTCCAGATCAGGGCAGCAAAACCTGCTGGGTATGGGATGTTTGCTGATGCTGCACAGCTGATGAGGGTCATGTTTAGCTCTCACAAAACTCTGTTTTCTAAGTGGGAAAGGGTTTACCGGGGGCAGCTGATCCATAACATCCTCTGATGTGACTTACCTGGGATGTTAACCTGCCGCTGCCCCAGGCACATGGCAATGCTCACAGCAGGTAAAACCTCTGCCCTGCCATGTGCTGCAGCAGCAGCACTGAGCAGTGTGTTCCCTGCTCCTGCCTCCAGTCTCCTTTTTATTTAATTTCCAGCTCACTGGTGCCGTTCCTCTGCTCCAGAAGCGTTTGTGCTCTGCACCCCACCCTAGGCTAGTGCCAAGCCCTTGGGGTGGGAGGACTTGCTCTTAGTCATACGGATTAGTCTTTAGCAGTCGTGCGAGGAGTAGGAAGTTGGACTTGAGGATCCTCACAGTTGCTTCTAACTCAAGATGTCCTGTGGTTCTGTGACTCCCTCTCTCTGAGGACATGGGCAGGGCAGAGCAAGGCTTCCTGCGAGGGGATGGCTCTGACCACTGGAGTGTCCTGCTAGGCTTAGAAATCTGGTGGTACTGAGCCCCAAATAGCAGTGGGTTCAAAAGTCCCTTGAGACCGGAGAACCAGAGATAAGTGTATTTTTGTTAATGGCTTAAAAGCAGCCGGATGCGGCAGAGGCCCAGTTTGGAAAATTAGTGTCTTGTTTACTGGCTGTGTTGATGACCCCTCTTACTCATCCGGACTGAACAGTCCAGAAACAGCCTCCACTGTCCCTGTGTTTGACCAGTGGCCCCCGTGGGTGTCCCTCAGTTACGGGAGAGCTGCGGAGGTGTTCCCTGACCGCAGCAATCAGCAGATCCACAGGAACATCGCTCAGTAGCTTGTCATTTCACATGCCCTTTAAGACTTCTGTTCCTTTGGACAGACGGAGGGATGTGTCTGAGCACAGCCCCTGCAGAGCCCCTCTCCTGTGGGAGAGGTGGGAGCAGCTGAGATCCGTGTGCCAGGGTTGGTGCCAGCACAGAGCACAGGATGAGCTCCCCGCTCCTGCTCACCTGCCAACATGCAGAGCCAGGCTGGCAGTCCCAGCTCCATGCAGGCTCTCCAACTTCCAGCTGGCCGGGGCTTGTCAGGCTTTTATCTTGAGGAGAGGGAGTGGGCTGCATTGAGTGTTTGACCACATTCCTGTCTGGGGCTTGGAGAACCATCTCTGTGTGCTGGGCACACCCGGGCACAGCTGCATCCACCTGCATCCTGCCCCAGGAACAGCTCTCCCCGCGCTGCCGGACTTTGCTCCGTGCCGTGTTACCCACATGAGCTCTCCCTGCACGTGCCTGCAATTTTGTTCCACCGGTTCTGCATTGTTGTCATTGTGTGGGTTACTTTTTACAAGTTTGTCTGAATTTCTTTTGTATGTGCTGGCTGTTACGTGCTTTAGTGTATAAACAACTACTTTAGAAAAGCCTGCGATTCTCCTCCTGCCAGAGAGGCTTAAAAGCCTCTCACTTTGCTGTAGTCTTGCTCAATTTGTGAGAATTACACATCAGCTGCAGTTTGCTCAACATTTGCAGGGCTGGTAAATCCATCCTGGAAATAGGATCTTTGTGATGTGGCTGGCTCCTGGGTCTTTGCCCATGGAAGAGCCTCGTGTTTTATAGGCTCCCATTAACATGAAATACGAGGGGCAGCTGGAGGGAGCACCGTGCTCATCGCCGCTGTCCCCTGCTCAGATGCAAAGCACTGCCTGGAGCAGCAAGGGGAAAACCTGCCTACAAAAACTGTCTGGCTGAAGTGCTATATGTACTTTGCTTCACTGGGCAGGTAGTACAGTTTCAGAGTACTTAGGGTAAAAAATAGTGCCAGAATATGGGCCATGTTCTTGTGGCTGTAGAAAATCAGCCCTTCTTTTGTTTCCCTGAGTTGAAAAGAAGAGCTGAGGTGTATTAACGTATGCCTGGTTTTCCCAGCTCTCATTGCACATGGAATTGTTCTGCAGGTATTTGCAGAGACATGGCTGAGAGAATAAATTAGCAATACTTGTGGAAGATACTAGCTCAGAAAAGTATCTGCCATGGAAACTGAGAATCAAGCTGATGCTTTAGGAGTAGGACATCAGAAAGCTGCCAAGATGAAGATGCGTTTTCCTGCGAGCTCCTCTCACACAGCAGTAACAAATGTCTTTGCCCCTTCAAGCTTCTCTGCCCACTTTGTATAAATTTAGTTGTGTTCAATGCTGGCTGAGAGATGAAGCATGTCTGTGTTTTCCAGTAATTTTTGTTTATATCTGTCTTTTAATACTGATTTCCCAGTAATGCCTGGGAGGAATTATTTGTGTGTTGGATTGGAGCGAAACTTCAGACATGATGCAATTTCTATCAGGGCTCTCCTATTATTGTATAATTGCTTCGTGAAACACAAACACTCCATTTCCCACATTAATGGGAGGATTAATTCCTCTCCCCACTGTGTCTGCTGAACAGCTCAGCCACATCCCAAATTGCACTTTGCTTCTCCTGCCATGATGTGCGTGGGGGGCTCCAGCTGCGGGGGCTCCTCTCCGGGGACACAGGCAGGTTTGTGTCAAGCTCTGGGGTGCAGGTCCCTCTGTGGCTGTTGCCAAGCGCCCCACGGGCACCTTTTCCCAGGCTGTGGGGTGTGAAGGTTTTGAAGCTGAAGCATTTATGGTTTATTGTAGGCTAAACTGAACCCGTGTCTTGAAATCAGAGCAAGCAATTGGAGGGAAATGCCAGGGGAGGCTGGTGCCTCAGCTCCGCAGCGCGGGTTTGAATGGACCCAGAGGTATCTCTGGCTCAGAGCTGGGAATTGCTGGAGGATCCTGGCTGCACCACTGTAGAAGAGGGGCAAGAAAAGCAGGCTGGGTGCCAGGGGAAAAGGCACTGCTGGTGAGCCCCCAGCCCCTGCAAGGAGCTGGCAGCCCTGAGAGCAGGAGGTGGCAGGGAAGCCAGGGCTGTGCTTTGCAGCAGGGGTGGCTGGAGCAGCCAGGGCCTTTCCCACAAACTCCTGCAAAGAACTTAATCTGCATGTATGTAACTATCCAAAATCACTCCAAAGAAGGTAATCTGGGATGCCTTTACTGTGGCACGTTTTGCATAGCTTTCCTTTCACCCGCCTAAGCCTGCACGGCTTCTAACTCTGCATTGGTGTTGGAAGATGCAGCATCCCCTGAGAGACCACTGGTGCCGTGGAGACCTTCCCAGCCACATGTGGCATATTTGGAAACTGAGCCCTTGGAAGGGCATCTAGAAGGCTTTGGGACAGGAGAGGAGATAGAAATTATTGCTTTATATAT